TCAGAGGCGTAACAATATAATAAATAATATTTCAAACATATCAATTTTTTTTGGCTCACTTTTTTAAATATGGCTGTTTTTACGATGATTTTGAAAGTTATAGTATCAGTTTCTTAGCAATAATTTCATCAAAATTGAAAAAAAATAGTGACAGTTATTTCAAAGACAGTAACTTGAGTTCTGTGTTGCTTATAGTATAGAGCTCTACAGTTAAACATCGCCATTTTACTGTTCGTTCCACGTTAATTCCACCTTTTCTTTTACGTTGGATGGCCTGGTAAAATCAAGTCATTTTAGTACGTTACCACAGCGTTAAGTACTGTTCTCAATGACGTTCGTATAATATATTTGATTGGGCTTATAATTTGGTATTAGGTTAATATTAGTAGTAGTTTAAAGTAGACAATTTGTTAGTCTGTATTTGCTCTCTAGCTAAAATTAGTAATTACATTGCATAAAACCATAATTTACTGTGAGGTAAGTATTGATATAAAATAATGTAATATTTCCATATTGTGATGCATCTAACTGTTAGTGTAAGAATAAAATTCGCAAAATCGATTTTCGTAGACTAAGAGCAGTAATGGACGAATATGGTGCACTGTTAACGAGGCTATTTATAAATATTTCATTATTTATTTTTTACGTTTTAGGGCAAGGAAGCATTTTAAAAGGTCCATTTTTATTTAATATCTGGAATGCGGGAGTATTACTATAGAAGTAGAAGTGAGTAGAACGAAAAGTTGTAATTATGATGTTAAATTATTCGTCATTTCTAGAAGTTGGAATCGGTTTTAAGAATTATAAATTTAATTATTTATTCATGACCGGTGGTAGTTTTAACTGGCGCCTTGTACTTATACTTTATAGTTATAGTAATAATATTACTTTTATTACAAGTCGTGCTTATAGTAGTAATACTAATGCTGTACCTTCGTCGCTTCTCCATAATGCTGGGCATGAACTTATGAGAAATCTTGTAAACAAGTGTGATAATAAGAATATTATGCTAATTTGATGTTAAATATCCCATTTTTTGTGTCAGTAGTAAGTTTATCACTTTATCATATGGACTTAGTTACAATGCCAAAATCTAGTGTTCTATTTACTGCATTGGACGGAGAGCAGATACCCCATTAATTATGCAGATATTTATCAAAACAACAC